GATATTGGAAGCATGGCAGCCATTGGGTGCAGAGAAAGATCCCACAACGGCGTGGCACTGCGCACGGTGACTCAGTGGCTAGCACTGCTGCCACACAGTGCCAGGGACTTGGATTTGATTCCATCCTCAGCCGCCAGTGTGGAGTTTGCACATCCTCACTGTGTCTGTGTGGGTTTCCTCTGGATGCTCCAGTTACCTCCCACAGTAGAAGGACATGCAGATTAGGTGGATTGGCCGTGCTAAATTGCCCATAGTGTCCAGGGATGTGTAGGTTAGGTGGATTAGGCATGGGAAAGGTAGGATTACAGGGAGAATGTGTCTGAGTGGGATGCTGTTCGGAGAGTTGTTGTGGGCTTGATGGGCCGAGTGGCCTGCTTCCACACCACAGGGATGCTATGAGATAAATGACAGATAAACAGCTTTTGGTGATATGCGTTCAGAGAGTATTCTTTGATGGAGCTCCAGGAGGAATCCAGTGCTCTGCTTCAAATTGTTACAACTTGAAACTGATATCGCAGTTTAGTTTTGAAAGAAGTGGAAATATTAAGGGAGTTACATTTAGTCCTCTGTCTAAGTATCCAGTGGCCTGGAGCTTTCTTTCAGAAGATGGTGCACGAGCCAGTAGCATGACACAGAGTTCTGACCTGCCTGGGGCCAGTTGGCTTTTCAAACAGCTTTCCTGATCTTGCACTGTAACAAATAAAAATAAAAATGTTGCTGTGTTAGCAGTGGATTCAGTGTAAAGTTAACCCTTTCTAGCGAATAAAAAATTTGAAACAACAAAAGCAGAAATTGCTGGAAAAGCTCAAGGGTTCTGGCAGCATCTGTGGAGAAAAATTGGAGTTAACGTTTTCAGGTTGAGTGACCCTTCCTCAGAACTGATGCTAGCTAGGAAAATGTTGGCTTTTATGCAGAAGATAGGGTGGGGGGAGGGGGTAAGGAGTAAACAATGGGTGGGGATAGACCCCAAGGAGAGAGGACAGAACAGTTGGACAGACAAAGAAGTAGATAATGATCTGGCTAGGAGGGTGAATAGCTATTAATGGGGACTGTTAGTGGCTAGACCATGTGATAACACGACCTGGTATGTGAGAGTTAGGGTAAGGACATGGGTGAAGTTAAGATCTAAAGCTATCGAACTCGATATTGAGCCCCGAAGGTTGCAGGTTTCCCAAGCGGAAAATGAAGTGTTGTTCTTCCAGCTTTCTCTGAGCTTTGTTGGAGCACTGCAGCGAGCCTGAGACAGCGATGTTGCCCAGGGAACACGGTGGTGTGTTGAAGTGGCAGGCAACTGGAAGCTCATGGAATTTTTTATGGGCAGAATGTAGATGTTCTGCAAAGCGGTAAGCCAGGCTACGCTTCGTTTCCCCAATCTAGAGGAGACCACATTGTGAGCAGCGAATGCAGTAGACTAGATTGTGGGAAGTGCAGGTAAGGCTCTGCTTCACCTGGAAGTTATGTTTGGGCCCTTGGATGTTTTATTTAGCAATTTGAAACAGTTCAGCTTGACTGGGTTCTGTTTTATTCCAGCTTTAATTTGGTCAACAAAGGGCTGGATGTTGTGGTGGGCTATGAGATTCCATGGAAGAGTCTTGAGCCTGCGCAAGAGGATATAGTAAGCTTCCCAGAGGGTGGCTCCTTTTGGCTGCTTTTGTATTTGCAGTCCCGTTAGAGAGAGCAGGCAGGCTCTCAATGAAGCTGGCCCCCATCAGAAGGCTGCAGTTTCTGCTTCACCAGGAGAAATGGGCAGTGCCAGGGCAGGCCAGTGACATCTCAACTTGGCAAGCTGGTCTACACACTAACCAACCAGTTAGATGAATCAGGCTGGAAGGGAAACCTCATGAAGATCAGGTCTTGGCTGTAATTGTGTTCCTCCATTATATTGTCCCCTTTAGGGAAGGCACAAAGCCTGCACTCTTCAATGCACCCCCTCCCCTCACTGCCCATTCCATAGGTAGCTCGCCCCCAGCTAGCTAAGCAGAGCTGGCTATGCTTTACATTAGGGACACTCTGCCATTGTCCCGGTGGTGGAGAGGTACAAACTGCCTCTAAATGGTACTTCAGTTATGGTTTTTGGCAATCCGCCTCAGTTGATCCACTTCTCAGCATTCCCCTGGGAGTATAGCCCACTGATGGGAATGTCTCAATGCACTGTGCCAAAATGACTCCATCTTGTTATTCACCCTGTCCCCCCCACCCCCATCCCAGCTCAAAGTCTATCACCGCAGAGCCTGGAAATAGAGCAGAAAAATGTTAGTTATCAAGGCTTGTATTAACATGGTTAACCTTCACTTCCCCTGCTTCACTATGCCAACTAATGCACTTCCAATATCCCCAGTAACTTTCCTTCTGTTACTCCAAGCACTGTCCACTTTTGGAACAAAAACAATTTCATTTCATTTCCAAATGGTGGAAAATAGAGAAAAAAAATGCTCAATTCAAACATCCCACCCCTATCAGAACCTTGATGTTCTGAGGCTGACAGTCCCTCCTTTCAATAACAAAGATAGTTTCCACTTATATGGGCATGTAATTTTCCACTGGGTAGTGATGAACTGAAGGTCAGATTTTCAAAGCCAAATAAAACATTTAGTCAACTTATCTTCTTGAAATAGTTTCTTGTTTTTTGTTCTGAATTTCCTGGGACCCACCCTTTATCCTGTGAAAAATCAGCATTTGATTGGATAAATAACCATTGTATGCCCCAATTTTATTTCAGGCAATTAAGTAACTGTGGTTCTGCTCATAGACATAGCTTGTTCAATCATTTTAACATATCAATTTGGTCCTTAGTTGAAGGACAAGCCAATTTAATCATAACCAACACGCCCTCTCAATTTTTATAGTTCATAGAATGCCTACAGTGTGGAAACAGGCCCTTCTGCCCAACAAGTCCACACCGACCCGCAGAACATCCCACCCAGACCCATCCCCCTATAACCCACATAATCTACACATCCCTGAACACTACAGGCAATTTAGCATGGCCAATCCACCTAGCCTGCACAACTTTGGACTGTGGGAGGAAACCCACGCAGACACCAGGAGAATGTGCAAACTCCACACAGATAGTCGCCCAAAGGTGGAATCAAACCTGGTAAACTGGCGCTGTGAGGCAGCAGTGCTAATCACTGAGTGTATATCTCTGAGCTCCGTGCATGGTAACAGTTTCCCAAAAGTGGAAACCAGTGGATCAGCATACAACTGGCGTGCACAGATTCTCCCAGCAGGCCCTGCAGCTTCAAGGAAATATTGACCATAACATTAACATGGAGGCAGATAGCTGTTTGAATTGAAATGCAGTCACGTGCGAATGTCTGTGCTGGTCTGTCGTAATCATGTGTCCTCTACCATGAGCATTGGAGATAACTTAAACTACACTGCAATAAAGTAATTAATTCTGCTGGGTTGTACACTCAAAACATTGTGCATTAAACTTGCCTGCAGTGTAAATACAGTTAAAATTGATAAAGTAATCTTGATCAGTGCTATTCATTTTACAGCTATTTGTGAAACAGTCATGATCACAAACTGAATACCTAATCATTATATCTGGATCTTTCAACAACCAGTTTTCTGGCATGCATGTGAATCTCTATAGGCACTGCATTTCAAATACATGGGGTATATAGCACAGAAGCAATCTGGCATGGTGGCTCAGTAGTCAGCATTACTGCCTCACTGTACCAGGGACCCAGGTTCAGTTCCAGCCTTGGGCCACTGTCTGTGTGGCTTTGCTCTGGTTTCCTCCTACAGTCCAAAGATATGCAGGTTAAGTGGCCTGGCTGTGCTAAATTGCCCATAGTGTCCAGGGATGTGGGTGTTGCTGGGATTAGGTGTAAGGGGGTGAGTCTGGGTGGGATGCTCCTCAGGGAGTTGGTGTGGATCTGTTGGGCCAAGTGGCCTGTTTGCATACTGTAGGGATCCTAAACATACCAGTATATCTTTCTAAACAGCCCATTTGGTGAAATCAGTTGGTTATTTTCCTCTTGAGCATCCCATCTTTCCTCATCTAAATCGATCATCATAATCTTCTACTCACTTCTCTCTCATTTGCATGTCTAGCCTCCACTTAAATGCATCTATATTCTGCACTTCTCAGCCATTACCCGTAGTTGCCAATTCCATAATCTCACCACTTATTGAGCTACCCGCCTCCACGTTAGTGTTGCGGTCAATATTCCCTTTGGTGGCTTCCTTATTGTGATGGAAGCTGTGCTCTTTCCCACAATTGGATATATTCTCCCTTTAACAATGAATGGGACATAAACAGAAATTGCTGGAGAAACCCAATAGGTCTGGCATCATCTGTGAAGAGAAAGCAGAGTTAATGTTTTGAGTCCAGTGTGACCCTTCTTCAGAACTGGACTTAAACTGTTAATGTTGTTTTTTCTTTGCAGATGCTGCCAGACCTGTTGAGTTTCTCTAGCAATTTTGTTACAGATTTCCAGCATCCACAGTTGTTGGTTTTATCTTCGTCATAAACTGGACAAGCTTCGGATCCAGCAGTGAGATCCAGCCTTGTCCCTGTTCCGAACTACCAGTGGATCAACAGGAACAGCTGTTGCTTCGGTGGCAGCATGGTAGACCTGGTGTGGGGACTTCTGGAATGGACTGTGCGAGCGAAAGCATGGCGAAAGGGAGGAGATTGAGCCCTTGTAGGAAGTGTAGTCCCAGCATGGCTAAGCATCTTTGAAAGACTGTAATGTTTGACTTTTAGCTTTATTCTTTACTTTTTTTACTTGATACTAAGAATTACTGTAATATTTAACTTTCAACTTTGTTCTTTCTTTCAACCTTGTTCTTAAGATACTGTATCTAGGTACATGTATCTAAGATGGCGCCTTGTGTGGCGACATTATACAGTTTTCACCATACTCCTGTACTTTTGAACATGAGTGCACGTGACAACAAAATATAAAGCTAAAAAAATCAGTACAGTGTTTATATGATTAATTCTATTCTCATTACACAGTGATAAAACAAATTTTAAAAATCAGTAATACTTGGAAATTAATGTACTGGTCATACTGGAGCACTACGTTGAGATATACAGGACAAATCAGACCAGGACATCTCATTGGCACGTTGTACTGTTTTGTTCTCCCTTCTGGGTAGTGATGGTTTCGTTTCTCGGAGGTGGCCTTGGCAGTTGAAACAGTTGTTCTAACAACTCTGCAGAGGCTGAAAGACCCCTCCTCTGCTTCCTGCTTGTTATAGTACAGCTGCTTCTGCCACCAAGATGACGAATGCTCCTTCTGCGATCTGAACAAAGGTTGATTTTAACAACAGGTGGTGCTTGAATCTAGTTCAAGAGTTCCCAGTACCTCTTGTGTTTAACTCTGGAATGCGGGAACACACATAGAAACTTGACAGATTTCAAGCTGCTCCACCCTGTAATTAGAAATGTAATTAATAGCTCAACAACTGCAGTGGTAACCAGTTATACCAACCATTCATCTAAACTACAAAATACAATTAAGCACATTCGTCTGAAATTGATTTTATCACTACAAAAGCTTTTCTTTACTTTTAGTCCCTGTTACACATACATTTAATAAACTCCAGGTTTACCTCTATAACAGTACCATTGTGCAGGTGATGCCTTCTATTTTTACAAGCAATAAAACACATTTAATCACAACACAGCATTTCTGAACATTCTGTACTGCAATTACATAAACCTGGCCTTTGTTTAAAGATGCCAAGTTTCCATCCAATACCTCCAAGTGGAAATGTTGATCATGACTGGTAATAAAATAAAACTGAGTAAAGAATATTAGACAGGCTACTTATTTCTTTCCAAAATACAAGTTGGGATTCTCTCCATGGGAAACCTGTGTCAGTTGTCAATAGTGTGTTTATTGTATTGTTAAGGTTCACATCAAGATTTACTTAGACATAGACTTGTTCCTCTGGTCCTGGGTGAGGCAATGGCAACAAAACTCTGCCACTGGCCTCGTTCCATCACGATCTCTTGTATCCCAAACCAGACTGTGCCTGGTCTAGAAGACGCTCCTTGAATGGACTTCACCAGGTCTTCATTGGTCAGCGGTCAGTCTTGTTTTCTTTTCCCATTTGGCAGTGATCACTCTACCTCTGCTCTGGGAAGTGAGACATGCGTCCTGTCAGTCTCAGTGTCACAAAGTCCCGTAGGGCATCTCTGCGCAATCCTATGAGCAGTTCTTCATTAGTAATGTTTTCTCTCCAAGTGACACCCAGTATTTTATGTAGACAATGTGGTGGAAGAGATCCAATCTATCCAGCACCATAAATATTGGGGTTATAATTACAGGTCAGAATGTGGGAATTCTGTGCAAAACAACTCACCTGTGATCTTCCAAAATCTTTCCACTATCTGCAAGTGCTAAATATGTATTTTGATGTAATATTTTCCATGTGTCAGTGAGAATAGCTCCAACAGCAATCAAGAAATTCAACATGATCCAGGACAAAGCAGCCTTGATCATCAACCTGTCCAACACCTGAAACAAGCACAGAGAATGTTGGAGAGACTTAGCAAATCTGGCAGTATATATGAAGAGAGAAACAGAGTTAAAGTCTAGTATGACTCTTAGGGTCATAATGTCATACAGCACAGAAACAGACTCTTTGGTCCAACTTGTCCACGTCAATCAGACATCCCAATCTGACCATTTGACAGCATTTGGCCCACATTGCTCTAAACTCATCCTCTTCATTTACCCATCCAGGATGCCTTTTAAATGTTGTAATAGTACCCACCTCCACCACTTCCTCCGGCAGCTTATTGCATACACTCATGCCCACTGCATGATAAAGTTACCCCTCAGGTTGTTTTTAAAGCTTTCCCCTCTCACCTTGAACCTATGCCCTTTACTTTTGGACTCCTCCTCCACCCTAGGAAAAGTACGTCAGCTATTTACCCATGCCCCTCATGATTTTATAAACCTCTATAAGATCAACCCTCAGCCTCCAATGCTCCAGGGAAAACCCCCCAGCCTATTCAACATCTCCCTACAAATTAAACGCTCCAATCCCAGCAACATCCTTGTAAATCTTTTCTGCAACCTCTCAAATCTAACAACATCTTTCCTATAGACAGGTGACCAGAATTCCATGCAGTATTCTAAAAGTGGCCTCACCAATGTCCTGTACAGCTGCAATCTAATGTCCCAACTACTAAACTCAATCTTCTGACCAGTGAAGGCAAACATGCCAAATGCCTTCTTCATCACCCTGTCTACCTGTGACTCCATTTTCAAGGAACTATGAACCTGCACCCATGGGTCTCTTTGTTCGGCAACACTCCCCAGGGCCTGAACATTAACTGTATAAGTCCTGCCCCAGTTTGCCTTACCAAATTGTAACACCTCACATGTATTTAAATTAAACCCCATCTGCCACTCCTTGGCCCATTGGCCCATCTGATCAAAATCCCGATGTACTCTGAGATAATATTCTTCACTGTCCACTACACCACCTATTTTGGTGCCATCCCAAACATTCTAACCATGTCTCCGACATTCACATACAAATCATTTATTAAAATCCATGTTAAGTAGTACTGATCACACACTGAATATCTAATTATTATATCAGGATTTCTCAATGACTGGTTTTCTGACATGCACATGAATCTTCATGGGCTTTAGTTCTATAAAGTTTTTGACTATAATCTACATAGTTCTGAAGAAGTGTCATACCCAACTTGAAACATTGACTCTCTGATTCTCTCCACTGATGCTGCCAAACATTCCTGTAGCATTCTGTGTTAGATTTCTAGTATCTTCAGTGTTTTGCCTCTATCCACCACCTTTATCACCTACAGATGAACTGCAATAATGTTACGAGGATTATTCAGGTGTCACCTCACAATCCCATGACCGCAATCACCAGGAATGACAACAGCAGCGGGAGCATGGAGATATCGCCACATGCAAACTTTCCTCCTGCTCACACACCAACCTGCCCTGGAAATGTACCAAAATTTCTTCATCGTCCATGGGTCACAATTCTTCAACTCCCTACCCAACAAGCACCAGGAGGTGCCCCTACACCACACGGACTGTGTCAGTTCAAGAATGCAACTCACATTGGCATGGTGGCTCAGTGGTTAGCACTGCGGCCTCACAGCGACAGGGACCTGCGTTCAATTCCACCCTCGGGTGACTGTCTGTGTGGAGTTTGCACATTCTCCCCGTGTCTATGTGGGTTTCCTCTGGGTGCTCTGGTTTCCTCCCGCAGTCCAAAGATGTGCAGGTTAGGGTGGATTGGCCATGCTAAGTTGCCCATAGTGCTGAGGGATGTGTAGCTTAGGTGGGTTTATAGGGGGGTGGGTCTGGGTGGGATGCTCTGAGGTTTCGTGTGGACTTGTTGGGCCGAATGGCCTGTTTCCACACTGTAGGGATTCTATGATAACCTATGAATTTTAAGGACCAGTAGAGAGAGGTGAGAAACACTGGCCTTGCCATTGATACTCATGCTCCTCGAGTTATGAATAAAAAACAAAGTGGGGACATTCACTGATTGACTTTATTGATTGATAAGACTTTCTTTGTTGGAAATACCGTATGATACTATGATTGTTCAGTTTGGTGTTTGGTCAGGCATCTCAGTCGCTGTTCGGTTAACTTTCTTTTCCTTTCCTTTGGTTTTTTCACCTTCTCTCCTGAAGGCACTGAATTGAGTTAGAATTTGCTTCTACAGCTAGTGACTAGCCATTATGAGCTGCCCAAGTGGCCATTCCTCATGTGTGATCCTGGACAGTCGGGTATTAAGCAGCAACCTGATCAAATTTTCACCCAATATCCTGCCAAATGCATTCTCCATTGTAGTTCCACAAAAACAATTAGAAACTGAAAATCTGGCTGAACTTTTAAAATGGAAAAACTTCCACTGAAGGATCAGTCTTTAAAGTGTTAATCTACCTTTTGACATCCAGATTTTGACACACTTGTTGTTCCTTCCAATATTTCTTTTCTCTCTTAACTCACGGCCCATTTTCACATTGACTTTAACAATTATGCTGACACCTTGGGATTTATTCACACCATGCCTCTGCCCTCCCCCTGATCTTTCCTGCCCTGAGCACCAAATAGACAAAACACTCCAAGAACATTAATTCCCTGTGGCCTATACTCTCCGCACACACAGTATTGTATCTATATCATTTCTGTTCAGATATAACGCATTCAACTTGTACTAACCCCACCTCCCCCAGAAAGAGTTGAAATGCATCAAGCTGCCTGCACCAGCTCCCCAGCCACATAGCCATCTGCTCCATCCATCTATTTCTATACTCACTAATATGTGGCACAGTAATCCTGAGATTACTACCTTTGAAGTTCTGCTTTTCAATGTTTAACCTAATTCCCTAAAGCCTGCTTGTAGGCTTCATTCCTCTGTTGAATTTGTTCACCACCATATTAGACAATAGCATTTCCCATTCCATATTAAACAGTGCGTCTCCACATTCCTAACCATATTTAAAAACAGATTTTATTCATGTCACCTTTGTTTCTTCAGCCAGACTGTTGTGTCCATGATAGCCAAATGACCTCTTCAAATGCTGTAACGATTCAGTGATTCTGTATTTAAACCAGTGTTCACAGGCAATTCAACCTCATTGGAAGTTTCAGGCAGTCCCCAGATTGTGAACAGGTTGCGTTCTGGAACCTATTCGCAAGTCAATTTATACACAAGTCAGAACATAATGCAGGACAACGTAAAGCAGCTGTTTGCAAGTACAGGAAATGTTTGTTTTTTTTTATTCATGTTGGATCTTTAATGAGATCATGTTTGCAAGAATGAATGTCTGTAAATTGGACATTTGTAAATTGGGGACTCTCTTGAATAACAGTACCATAATATCCGTGACCACGGAACATGCCATTAGACCATAGTCCTTCCATATGATGGGCATTGCTGGGGTTGGATCGCATCATCAAACCCTCCCACCCATTTACGAAACCCCACATCTCTGCCATTCCCACTCCTGACCCCACCCTCCCCCTGCCACCCTCCCATCCTCCTTGTAAAGTGGCCGCCAATATTTTAATGGTTTTGACTACAGCACTAACTGGCCCAGCAGGGAGGCCTTTCTATTCTGATGTGGCAGGTTAATTTTATACCTCTTCTTAAGACTGGTGCAACAAATAAAAATATTTCAAGGAAGCTCTTTAAATGGCGGCACTAAAAAACAAATTTAGCCTATCGTAAGCCCCTGTATACCTCCTAAGATCCCTATTTATTTCCAAGCCTCCTGTGTCACCTCTTGGGTCCCGCTGTATCACTGAGCAGACTGTTACTGAATGACCTCATGTTTTCTAATCCTTTAAAACACTTGGGAAATACAACTGGATCAGTAGATATACCACATTGAATGATATCTTAGGGGGTTAGTGAAAACTAGATCTGGATTTTCTTTTTTCCTTCAACCCAATGTAAAATGATGATGTTGCTGGATTCTAAGACACCAAACAGGAGTAATCAGATAAAAGTGTGGTAAACTCATCAAACTCGACATTTTAAATCTATCAGATGATTCAATGACTTAAGCAATTACAGCCGTGCTCAAATGGACAGCCAAAACTGGTTTTCAGAGTGAATTTATGTTGCATGTATAACATTTTGTGTGAACCATTTTCAGGTTTGTCGTTAAGCTAAATTAGAAATTTTAATTAAAATGGAGAACGAGAGCCCTCAGAGGGAAATTATGACACACTGTTTTCATTTTACACAAGTTGAAGGCTAAAAGCCTTTGTAGTCTCAAGTGTGGACCCATGGGCAATGCACACTTGCCCACCTTTTATTTAAGTATTTAGAGCATGTGGAGCCCATCCAGTTTCTGCTGCTGGGATCCTGAAGGTGTGGACAGGACTCTGATGGAATGCTCTCTGAATTGAAGCTATTTCTAAAACTTTCTGAAGAAGGGTCCAGACCTGAAACGTCAGCTTTCCTGCTCATCTAATGCTGCTTGGCCTGCTGTGTTCATCCAGCTCTACACCTTGTTATCTCAGATTCTCCAGCATCAGCAGTTCCCACTAGCTCTAAAACTTACTATCAAGTTTCACAATGAGGAACAACCGGAAGGCGCTAACCTTGGTGGAGCGACAACTTAATAAGAGGCTAACAACACGTAAAGCTGATGGAAGGAAATAAATTGGCAATAAAATGTTGCAATAAGTAAATAAACTAAGGTGTTGGAAAGTTGCTGCAGTTTTTGGAGCTCTAAGACACTTGCATGTGTACAATGTCACAGGGTTTAGGTCGATCCTGAACACGGAATGTACTTTTTTATCTTTGTACAGATTATCCGTATGGACCTTATCCATTGTTGAAAATAAAAATTGCAATAAAAATTGGGTTGGGCTAATCGACACAGCTGCAGTTAAAGGCACATGCAGTGCATCAAGAACCGGATCACACCGACACAAGGTAATTGGCAAAGACCCAAACAGAAGATAACATGCCCCTTTTTTTCTCTCAGGGTGCTCCGATTGGAATGGAATTCCTGAAAGGATACACAAAGCAGATTTAATAGCTGTTTTGAAAAGTGAATTGGAGTTGAAACAGAATAATTTGATCTGATTTGATCTATTTATTGTCACGTACATCTTGCTAGAAAATATTGTGAAAAGTGTTGTATAGTGTCGCCGCTGTCCTTTGCCATCTTAAAACACAGACCAAAACATAAAAATGTAGCGGCAGAAAAATTAAGAAATAAATAAAAATGTGTTCAGCTTTACAGTCCTTGTTGTTAAGTGCTCCACTCTGGGCACGAGTTCCTCTCACTACTGCTGGAAAGAAAGTTGTCATTTTTTGGCGCCATCTTGCCTCTACCGACTCCCTCGCCACTATGAGTCCTCACTGGACCTTGGTCAATGTAGTTGCCACCGATGCTGCTGGTTACTGCAGTGGCCAAAATCGACCCTGTTGTAGTCATGAGTCCGCTTTGGGCCCACCTCGCAGATACCACCGGGTATTGTACTGGCCCCAAACCCGCCTCCGATGCCACCATCATGAGTCCGTGCCTGCTGGGCCCTACTCACCACTGCTGCTGATGCTGATGCTGCAACCGAGCTCTTCACCAAGAGGTATGTAAAATAAAACAGAAGGCAAAATAAAAATGAAAAGAGGAGAGGACGAGCCTCAGGTTCGGAAGCCCTACCCTACTGCCATCTTACCGGAAGTTCATTCAGCATAGCAGGGGAGTGGGACTAATTGAATGGCTCTTTCCAAGGGCCAGCACTGGAATTGGCTGAATGGCCTACTTCTCTGCTATAAGACTCAATGATTCAATGAGCTGCAGGGGTAAAGGTTCATCCTGAAGGGGCCAGAGGACAGCAGGCAACTCAGTCAGGAGGCTATGCTCTCTACTCCAGAAGGTTCTGAGGCCAATTTTAAGGCCCAGCAGCTATAAAAACAGGGGTTTAGTTATCATCAATTCCCAGTACGACCCAATGGCACTGAGGCCAATTTTATCTCAGTGCATACTGTGCCCACCAGGTCATAAATTGCTTCCTGATGTAATAACTAGGCAAAAAACCAATATGTGTGCTGATATATATCAGCACTTTCAGGCTGCACGCGTTGTCACCCTCAGCCAGAAACTACTCCTCGTGTCTGAAAAACTGGGACTCTCCAGGATGAGTGATTTCCATTCTAATCAGGTTTTGTCCTGTCCAAACTTTAGTGAGTCAGATGGATTTTTTCCCTGACGATCAATAATGGATTCATGGTCAACACTACATTTCTTAATTCCAAATATTTATTGAATTCAAATTCCACCATCTGCCATGGCGGGATTCGATCCCAGGTCCCCAGAACGTTATCTGGGTCTCTGGATTAACAGTCTAGTGAGAATATACTAGACCATCGCCTCCCCTGTTTTAATGTTAAGGGACAGAAATGATGTGATTTTTTTTCCAAATTAGAAATAATTTAAGATTTTCTTAATGTAGAAGGTAAAATAATTTTACTCGAATTTCCTAATCAGTTCATTAAAAATAATAGAGGTAACTCTGAATAGTGGTGACAACATGAAGACAAAAGAGCCATTTGCATTTATTTAGCATCTTTCACAACCTTAAGACACTTTAAAATCCTTCACGGCCACTGCTGTAATGTAGAAAACATGGCAGAAACTCAGCAGGTCATGTCAATAACATGGGGTGTGTTTATGAGATTAGAGAGTCCTCACTGCCAAAAAGGACCTCAAAATTTTGCAAGGCAGTGAGAATTCAAAGGATAATCCTGAATGTGCAATGTTTTACTGGGGGGTCACCAAAACCAAGACCTCAAAAGGTTTGGTCCATGTGAAAAGAAACACTTCCACAGCTAACAGTAAGTTGTTGTGTGATTTTTACAATTGTAGAACATTGAATCTTTAAGGGCTGTGTCAAAGATCCAGTAGCTCACGTACATTGTATTAAATCAATGATTTATTTTGCTGCAATGTTTTATTCAATGATTATGTGATAACACGTCCTTTCCTTTGGCTACCTCTCAGCAGCTCATTCTCAGGCCTTCCTGAAGTTCCTTACAGCCAATGAAGTATTTTTTAAAGGGCAGTGATTGTTATGTAGGAAAACTCAGTGCGGTTTGATCACAGGTAGTTCCACAAACAGCCAAATGAATTTGGTAATTTTGTAATTTGGCTTTTGATTGCAAGACACAGGCTGACCATGACATCAAGAAAACCCCTGAAGCTTTCAATTCTTGCTGGATTTCCCCTTCTACATCGAAAATCACAGGCTACATTGAAATATAATCCTGCTGTTCACTTTCTCGATTGCTGGCATTAATGCTATATGTGGATACCTCTTAACAAGGTAGATCTGAGTGATTAATCAATGTGTTTGCATCCTTGTTTAAACTGAGCTGGATCTACAAGGTCAGAGGGATTGACGTGCAGGACAGGTGGCCTCAATCTCCTTACTTTAACAATTGTACTGTTGTCAAGATTAAACGAGGCACAACCCCACGCACTGTATCATAAGACCAAGCCCTTTTTGGGCGTTACAGAAACATTTGATAGTCATGCATGAATCATTCTGATTTTTGAGGGCTCTTTTCTTGCAGCCACTGGAATTGTAGCTGTTCAGCTGAGTCCTGCAGACTTTCATTGTCACAACTAGATTTTGAAAGAACATTACAGGCACAAAGACTGGAGTGTGTTTTAAAGTGTCCATGTTGCATTATTCCCTTGTACATCTGACATTTTCTAAATAACTTAGCCAAGCTCAAATAATTTAGGCAGATTAGGAAAAATTGATCATGGAGGTGAATGGCTTGTTAAGGGGCCAAATTAATTGAAATGTTTGGTAAGTGTATATACACCAAACACAGTACAATCGTTCAACTCATCTAACACTACACAGAAAATGTTTCTGTGTTACATAGAAACGTAGAAGATAGGAGCAGGAGGAGGCCACTCAGCCCTTCGAGCCTGCTCCGCCATTCATCATGATCATGTGGTTATGGTGAGTGGGCGGGTAAGTGGAGCTGAGTCTCAAAGATAAGCCATGATCTTATTAAATGGCGGGGCAGGCTCGAGGGGCCAGATGGCCTACTCCTGCTCCTAGTTCTTATGTTCTTATGTCTGATCATCCAACTCAATAGCCTAATCCTGCCTTCTTCCTACAACCTTTGATCCCATTCGCCCCAAGTACTAT